AACCATGTCCATTGTATATATTACATCCTGAAACTTAAATTAAAATATTCATAGCTCACTGGAGAGAAATGAAAAATTGATTAACTTAGGTATTTGGGGAAAATGTGTAATCAGAGACATGAGAAAGATGCAGTCTGGCCTGGGAATGCATTGCTGAGAGGTGAAAGTAAGGAGGTGGTGCCCAAAGCATAACTCCCATGACACACTGTGGTGGCACTTCTAACTGCACTGTTTGCTTTCTCAGATAGGAGGGTTCGAGTAAAAGCAAAAAAAAAAAAGGAAATGGAAATTAGGAGTAGGAGGGAAGATTGTTTTCTTATGGCGTTTTTTATCCAAAATGACTCTTCCTAAACAATTTCCAAATAGTTACATATATATATTACCAAAAGGTTCACATTTTTAGTGGTTTTAACTGTAGATGTGTAGGTGCATACATGCTGTATTTGCTTTATAGTAATGGAAATATAGAATCTGTTTTTTCATGAGAAGGGTTAGAGAATCTCAAAGTCCTGAAAATGTAATGGCTGTGCTTTAATGGAAAAAAAAATTGAATTCAAAAGAAGAAATGATACTTCAGATCATTCTGTTGAGATGATACTTCAAAATTTTCTGTGATTTGAGAATCATGATCCCCTGGGGGACTGAGATGTTGTTGCTGTTTGAAACGTCAAAGCATCAAGAAAAAGCTTTATGTGTAGGTGCATACATGCTGTATTTGCTTTATAGTAATGGAAATATAGAATCTGTTTTTTCATGAGAAGGGTTAGAGAATCTCAAAGTCCTGAAAATGTAATGGCTGTGCTTTAATGGAAAAAAAAATTGAATTCAAAAGAAGAAATGATACTTCAGATCATTCTGTTGAGATGATACTTCAAAATTTTCTGTGATTTGAGAATCATGATCCCCTGGGGGACTGAGATGTTGTTGCTGTTTGAAACGTCAAAGCATCAAGAAAAAAAGCTTTGCCATGCATGTAGACCTCATATGTAGAGGCTACACAGAATGCCACCTTCACAGTTTCAGACTCTGGAACTTTAAAATATAAAGACATAGCTCATTAGATGTCCAGGAAGTTTCTGCTGATTTGCAGCTCCTTACAAAATGTGGCGTAGATTTGCTGCACGTTAAGAAATATTTCTGATTCAGGTAATAATGTGGTTGCTTGTGTGTTTGGGTTTTTTCTACAGCAGTAAGTTCTTGAATATTATTCAGTTGACTCCTCAACGTTTCCTTAAACTGCACAACCTCACAAATCTAAAAAACTGAGTCACAGAACAGCTAAAGGAGATTGGGTTTGAAGTAGAGAGGGTGCTTAGTGTTTTACTTACTTAGGAATGATCCAGTGTGTTAAGCATCATCTCCTTTTTACTTTTGCATTTTTTTCTGATATCCTCTGCAGCACAGGTGATCTCTGGGATTTTCAGCAGTTGAATACACCATCAATTTTTGAGCATCACTATCCTGACCAAACAGAATAAAAACCCTAGACATATTTTAAGCTCAGAGAAAGAGATACTGAGACTCACAATGCCTGGGAAATTCAGCTGCAGTGTCTGACTATGTTTTATGCTTTAAATGTGCTTTGAATACCCTCCCCTGTCTGTCCTGCTGCTTTGCTTGAGCTTATTGTCCCTTGAGCTGACATGGCAGAAATTAATTTGGGTCACCAGTTTTCTGCCCAGCGTATTAACCTAAACTGTTGATAGCCAAACTGTTGTAGGGGCAAAGCAGCTTAATCACCACAACTAAATTCAAATTGGAGATTGTGAGTGAGCATCTTGAGCTAGTTTGCTCTATGAAATTTTGTCTTGCTGACCACATCCAGAATGATTCCTCTTCTAGTTTCCATACTTCTTTAACTACCGCAAGGTCTGGCTAAAAAACATAAAAAATAAAAAAATCCACAAAAAAAAATCTCAGACATTAATATATTTAATGACAAGATTGAACAGCTTGAATTGCCTTCCCTTCATTCTCACTGTGTTTATTTCTGTTCCCAAGGCATAAGACTGCTAACTGGAACATGGACTGTTCCTTATTGTAGTCTCCAGTACCTTCTACTGCAGGATCATTAGCGGAATGGTTTTCTCCTTCTGTTTGATGATTACAGCTTTTGTGTTTGGTGTCATCCATATGTTATGATGGTAGTTTTATGTTCCAGCGACAAAATAAATAGAGGTTCATGTATCTGTTCTTTCATGAATCTGCCATTTGCCTGATTGTTTCATTATCTTCACTTGCCTCACAGTTGTGAATGGAACTGATTTGTAGGCCTGGACAGGCTGTTTAAATCACATGTTGAGGGCAAGTAAAGATAAACTGAGTTTCCCAAGCTGACTGACACTAATGAATAGTTATAAATGTTTTCTTTAGTTGAGGAATATTTAAAAAGAAAGAGGGAGAGAAAGAGACAGATCTGCAAAGAGGGTTTTTTTTCTTATAAAAGCTTCTCTGGAGCACATTTCTCATTAGAAGAAATGTGATACGAAGATGACTTGAGGAAGTCAAGGTGATTTAGGGAATTAATTGTTGAAGGGGTTAAAATTCCTAGTATGCAATTCTTAATAGAGCAGTAGAAGCCACAGGTGTATGAAAGAGGTAGAAAAAGTAAGTAAAGGAGCATCTGAGAAACACAAGACAGTTCAGTTCTACTGAGAAAAAAATGTAATTGTCCAAGCTCAGTTGTGCCTGATCCAGGGGACTTGAAGATAATATGTCAAGAACATTCAACGTGATAAGAAAGCAAAGAAGATTTTTAACACTGAAGTTTCTGCCTTGTCATTTTCCAGAAGAAAAAAAAAAGGTGAAAACAGAGCAATGATAAAAAAGATTATGGCCCATAACATACCATACATTCATCCTCTTGAAATCACTAATAATGAGTATCTCAGCATTAAAAAAAAAAAAAAAAGGCAACAATTAGATCACAGATTTTAATGGCAGGAAAAATGGCAATTACTCTCTTCCTGAGGAAAAAAAAAAACTTCATTCCTATAAATTCCAGTTACATAAAAATATGGGCAATTACACTATTGAAGAAATCTGTGACAGAGAGTAGGCACTAGAAAATATCTATGAAAAATGATTCTCATTCATAGAGCTTTCTGAACTGCAGAACACCCACAGAGCAAAATCAGCTGCAGATTGGTCTTTCTACATGATGGAAATAATAGAAAATAGGACTAGAGGGGAGTGTGAGTGGCTATCTAAGCTAACCTCCGTGCTAAGGCAGATGAGCGATAGCTGAAACTTTCTGGCAGACTAGCACAGCCCATACAACGTGATAAATGTGTTTTGGGGGGTTTGTTTGTTTGTTTGTTTTTAAATTCTTAGTAGGACAGAAAAGTGTGTTCCCAACTGTATGCAAAAATCCGTGTTCTTAAAACAGCTAATACCACCAGAATGCACTCAACTTTATTCCTGTGTGTATTTATTTGACCATAAACCAAAACAACCTTCAAATTTAAATTTTGTTGTGCTGCAAAAGTTGATTCAGAGAAGGAATTCAGTTAATTCAACTTTTCTCACCAGGTGTTGCTTGTAGCAGGATTTTGAAAATTCTGTGTGTTTTCTGTTTCTGTGGCATCTATTCAGTCGCATAGATAGGCACAGAGGGTACTGGAGGAAAGCAGCACCCGTCACTGCTCTTTGCATTTTAAAGGAAACTTTCTGCAGTGAAGAGAACATCCACGCTAGCAGAATCTACCATTCACGGAGTGCGTTCCTGCTGTGTATGGCATGTCTATCTGTCCTTAAGTGTATTCACAGAGATCAAAATGTTCCGCACTGTAGTATCTGCATTTAACAGATGGAGCATTTGTCTGTATCAGAGAAAAAAAAGCAGTAGCTCGATGGAGGCTGATGCGAGTCTTCAGCTTTACATTTATATACGTTAAAGATTACTCTGCCCTACCCTCCACTTCGGACAATTTCTGTGGTTTTTACGGCTCAGGAGCTGAAATCCAGAAGGCAGAAGGGCAGCCCGGAACAGATACCGGCTGCCCGGGCACGCACGGAGGGCAGGGCGTGCGATGAAGAGACGGGGGACCCCGCGCCCTCCGCGCCCCCCCGCCGCCGCCC